AAAAAATGAACGAAATTTATTTCCAAAGGGTCGCAAATTGGGCACACAGGCACGTCTTACATTGAACCCTTTCAAAAAACTCATCTTTCACATGGTAACTATTTTTTTATTTATCAAGAATTTCATGTTTTTATGTCAAAATATACCCTGGTTTTGAAGTTTATTAGTACTTCGATGGTTAGCTTTATTTGTTCTCCATACAGCAGACAGCGAACACACAACAATCACATTGTGTGTTCTTTTAGTTTAAGGCCTGTTTGGGAGAAGCTAATGAAAGCAGATCTATATATATATACATCTATAAGGAAAATAAAGCACTGTTCTTTGGTCTCGTGGTGAGAGAGGGGGTGGGGTGCAGAATATTGTGACGACTGGGAAGTTCAGCTGTAGAAGACGGAGAGGCAGACCGAGAGAGATGAAGACGGAGAGGCAGACAGAGAGAGATGAAGACGGAGAGGCAGACCGAGAGAGATGAAGACGGAGAGGCAGACAGAGAGAGATGAAGACGGAGAGGCAGACCGAGAGAGATGGAGACGGAGAGGCAGACAGAGAGAGATGAAGACGGAGAGGCAGAACGAGAGAGATGAAGACGGAGAGGCAGACAGAGAGAGATGAAGACGGAGAGGCAGACCGAGAGAGATGAAGACGGAGAGGCAGACCGAGAGAGATGAAGACGGAGAGGCAGACAGAGAGAGATGAAGACGGAGAGGCAGACAGAGAGAGATGAAGACGGAGAGGCAGACCGAGAGAGATGAAGACGGAGAGGCAGACCGAGAGAGATGAAGACGGAGAGGCAGACCGAGAGAGATGAAGACGAAGAGGCAGACCGAGAGAGATGAAGACGGAGAGGCAGACCGAGAGAGATGAAGACGGATGGACTGCGTCGATGGCACGGAGGGATATCATCGATGAAACTGAGATCTTTGGAGATGCATGAACGCCTACGCCAGTCTGCAGGGCACGTGATGATGATGATTTTAAAGTTTTTCGCTTTCAGCACGACTGTAGCCTGCTTATTCTTGATACTGGCAGTGGTTTTCATACTGAATAATTAATATTCGCCAGTAGAGCAAAGAAATTGATAGTAATGAACACATTTCCATCTATGTGAACATCATGTCTCAGACATGGGTACTTGCAAGAGTCTTTGTCTAGGTGCTATACCAAAGTGGAGACAAAACAAGAATAGACCCACTGCCTCCCTATGAGGCATCTCGTAAGAATCGGCTGCTAATTAAAGGATTCCTTCGAAGTCAGAGAGCATCTGTCCAAGAGGCGAGGAACTAACATTCCCCATATAAGTAAGTAAGATCTGATGTCAGATGTGCACGGAAAACTGAAGATCTGAAACAAGTCCAGATGTTAGCTAACAACCAGACATTGTCACTGGAGTTCACTGGAGTTCACTGGAGTTCACTGGAGTTCACTGGAGTTCACTGGCCGTACACGCTAAGAAGATGGTGCTTTTTTACAACCAATGCATAAAAAAACAAACTTATAAATGTCATTGTCTGCCAGCCAGTCAGCAGTCATATTACGGCATTCTCCGGGTGATCAAAGTGGTTAAGAACTCAGGCCAGCTCCACCGCCTCGTTTTGAGTTAAGCTCCACCGCCTCGTTTTGAGTTAAACGGCTAGCATTGTGACAGTGTCATAAGTGTCACAAAAACTGTATACGGGCGGACAGTGTTGTGCTGTTTTTTCTGTTGTGTGGGCTGTACAAGAAGACGGTGAAGGTACATTTAGTCAAGTATGTAAACTTGTATGATTTCTTAAGCTAAGATATTATTTACATGAAAACCTAGTAAAGATATATGGACTGATTGTGCTTGAAATTATTTGCCTAATCATCTTAAATTTATATTTTTCTATGGAATAGATTATTTTACGTCAAGTCAGATCGCTGTCAGTTAAAAATTATGGCTCTACTTTGAACGACGCCTTAAAATCGCGGCCGTAATATGATGCCGTTCGAAAGAGAGCTAAATTGGCCACATTCTGGCCATAAAATATCCAAAAATATCCGAATGCGGATCAGTTCTATTAAAAATGCATGTGCCGGCTCCGTATAACAAAACAAATGCTCTAACAGGGTCTCGGTGATATGTTACTTGCGGACCTGCTTCTGCGAGTGTGCCTCACCACCGACAGTATGGGGACTAAACTAGATGGCTGGGACTCACGAGCAGCAGCTACCGCATCTCCTGCAACTTCCTCCAGTTACTTTACTCGTGAGTCCCAGGCACCTAGTTTAGCCCCACCCCTCCCCCCCCCCCCCCTCTCTTCCCCCATCCGCGGCGATGAGTTTAATCGCGTTTGGTGCATGCCGACAAGTCTGACATCTACCGCTGCTAAAACCTCCCATCGGAAGAACACAGTATTGCTAATCGGCTTTCATCGTCTGTAATGTCTCGAAATCGGTCAACGGTCGCTAATATCGTCTGCTTGTATCGTCGTCTGCAGAAACGCTTGAAATTGTCAACGGTCTGTATTTGTCGTCTGCTACTACTACCGTGTGCAATGTTGATATTGATCGTCAAGTAATCCTAGTTTTGCCGCGATTTGTCCCTTGGCAGAAAGTCCGTATTTTAGATACACCTCAACACCGTTCGGATATTTTTGGATATTTTGTGGCCAGAATGTGGCATCATATTACGGCCGCCATTTTAAGGCGCCGTTTCAAGTAGAGCCAAAATTATTAATTAAATAAAAGAAACACTCCTAACAGGGACGTGTCAGATTCTTTTAGCCTCTAAAAAATAATTAGCTTTTGATTTCATGTCGACCTAACCTAAAATAGATACAAATATATTTCATTTGAAGGAATGGCGCCCAATGTGACGGTAAAATTATCATCAACGCCGACAGGGATAATAATAAATGGGCCTAGCTCTCTAGGCATGATGCGTCAATGCCATGAGCCTAAAAAGGCAGGGCCGCATGTCTATTGCTCTAGCCTAATAATTCAGGGCCGCATGTCTATTGCTCTAGCCTAATAATCCAGGGCCGCATGTCTATTGCATGAGGAGCCTAATAATTCAGGGCCGTATGTCTATTGCATGAGGAGCATAATAATTCAGGGCTGTATGTCTATTGCATGAGGAGCCTAATAATTCAAGGCCGTATGTCTATTGCATGAGGAGCCTAATAAGCCAGCGCCGCATGTCTATTGCATGAGGAGACTAATAAGCCAGCGCCGCATGTCTATGGCTCTAGCCTAATAATTGAGGACCGCATGTCTATGGCTCTAGCCTAACAATTCAGGGCCGAATGTCTATTGCTCTAGCCTAATAATTCAGGACCGCATGTCTATTGCTCTAGCCTAATAATTCAGGGCCGTATGTCTATTGCATGAGGAGCCTAATAATTCAGGGCCGTATGTCTATTGCATGAGGAGCCTAATAATTCAGGGCCGTATGTCTATTGCATGAGGAGCCCAATTATTCAGGGCCGTATGTCTATTGCATGAATAGACTAATAATTCAGGGCCGTATGTCTATTGCATGAGGAGCCTAATAATGCAGGGCTGCATGTCTATTGCTCAAGCCTAATAATTCAGGGCCGCATGTCTATTGCTCGAGTAGCCTAATAATTCAGGGCCGCATGTCTATTGCATGAGGAGCCTAATAATTCAGGGCCGTATGTCTATTGCATGAGGAGCCTAATAATTCAGGGCCGTATGTCTATTGCATGAGGAGCCTAATAATTCAGGGCCGTATGTCTATTGCATGAGGAGCCTAATAATTCAGGGCCGCATGTCTATTGCATGAGGAGACTAATAAGCCAGCGCCGCATGTCTATTGCTCTAGCCTAATAATTCAGGGCCGCATGTCTATTGCTCTAGCCTAATAATTCAGGGCCGCATGTCTATTGCTCTAGCCTAATAATTCAGGGCCGCATGTCTATTGCTCTAGCCTAATAATTCAGGGCCGTATGTCTATTGCATGAGGAGCCTAATAATTCAGGGCCGTATGTCTATTGCATGAGGAGCCTAATAATTCAGGGCCGTATGTCTATTGCATGAGGAGCCTAATAATTCAGGGCCGTATGTCTATTGCATGAATAGACTAATAATTCAGGGCCGTATGTCTATTGCATGAGGAGCCTAATAATGCAGGCCTTTTCGCTGAATAATTCAGGGCTGCTTGCCTGTTTCTCGAGCTGAATAATTCAGGGCCGCTTGCCTGTTTCTCGAGCTGAATAATTCAGGGCTGCTTGCCTGTTTCTCGAGCTGAATAATTCAGGGCCGCTTGCCTGAATAATTCAGGGCTGCTTGCCTGCTGAGCTGAATAATTCAGGGCTGCTTGCCTGTTTCTTGAGCTGAATAATTTTCTTGAGCTGAATAATTCAGGGCTGCTTGCCTGTTTCTTGAGCTGAATAATTCAGGGCCGCTTGCCTGTTTCTTGAGCTGAATAATTCAGGGCTGCTTGCCTGTTTCTTGAGCTGAATAATTCAGGGCCGCTTGCCTGTTTCTGGAGCTGAATAATTCAGGGCCGCTTGCCTGTTTCTCGAGTTAAATAATGTAGGGTTGCAGGTTAGATGGCGCTAAGAGGAAAGAAAGACGGACGATTTATCCAGAAGGATTCGATGGCGTATATACCGAATGGGATCACAAATTTCTACCTTATCGAACCTAAACCCAAGTGTAATGGTTAAACATAGTGAAATATAAAGTAAATTAAATTAAAAAGTCTTATTTATCTATAATTAAAGAATAATTGGAGTTATTGTTATTTAAACACAATTGCATTATTATAATTTGTACACACACACACATATACACCCACGTACACACACACATACATGAGGGCATACACGTGTGTGTGTGTGTGTGTGTGTGTGTGTGTGTGGTAATAATAACATAGAGTGTGTAGTCACGAAAACTCTAAGCATTCTTGAACTTTCAATAAATAAACACCTAAAATGTGATGTCTAATTTTTTTCTTCCCAGAGGTTTGAAGACTGTATACCAGCCTATAAAATACGTCACGTGCGAGAAAGATGGAGTTTGCCACAGTTCTAGTTGGTGCTGTTATTTTCCTGATCCTCTTCCTGTGGCTACGGTCTGCCAGCCGAAATCTGCCGCCCTGTCCACTGAGGCCCCTGCCTGTAGTGGGCCACCTCTTCTACATGGCAAAAGACGCCAGGCCACAGTTTGAGGAGTTTAGGAAGCGTTGTGGGGACATTTACAGGTGAGTGCATGATTGATGTGGGGACATTTACAGGTGAGTGCATGATTGATAAGGGGGACATTTACAGATGAGTGCATGATTGATATGGTGGCATTTACAGATGAATTGATGATCAGTGAGTGACTTTTAAAGGTGTGAGGATGGCGGATTAGGATGCTCAACGAAAATAATGATATAAACTAATACAATGTAAGATGTTGACTTATTTATCAGCAATTAATGGAGAAATAAGTACTTTTGACCACATATTTGGAAGGTCAGCAGCGGAACAAGGACTGTCTTCTTTGCCCCATATGTTGTGTCAGATATGATAATACTGACTTCAACCAGGGCTCCACTGGCCGAACTGTGTAACGTAGGTGTAGACCGTAGACAGTGATGTCTTGTGGATATGAAAGTTAATCTGCATGTGCTTTTTTCTTGGTGTCAAAGTTGGCGCTACTTGGAACCCTGCTGTATCTCCTTTCAGATGCAACGTTATATTTCAGAAGTATTTAATATTGATTATACAATGAAAGTCTCTATTTATTGAAACTATGACCCTAAATTTATTTCTCATCTCGAAAAATCAGGTTTTTCCACTTCTATTTATCTGTACGCAGAAAGTGAAAGTTTTTGAAGTCTTTACACGTAATCATCGCTTCTTACGTCGATTTACTTTCATATCGAAAACTATAGTTCGTTCAACATCTTATGAAAACACTTGCAAGCCATTTTCTCGAAAACTGCTGGTTAGATCGCAAGGAATTTTCGCACGTAGCTTTAGAATAACCATTACACACACACACACACACACACACACACACACACACACACACACACACCCAAATGGTATCTTTTAGTCCATAGATGCTCGGGATGCTGAATAATAGCCACTTTCTTAGATATTTTCGAACCATTGTAAATAAGTAAACTTTTTGATTTTTCATTAAAAATCTGAATTTCCGGTTCTACTTTTTGTCAGAGGCCTGTCTTTATAATACATTGATAGGTGAAGTAAATGTATTTGTTGTCATTTATGTTAAACTGAGCTGAGTTGAGTTGATCCTAGAAAGACATCCTATCTCTCGGGGCATTTCCATATGCGCTCCGTCCCCATCTTCGTCAGGCAGCGCAGAGTTGCAATACTAATAGTACCGGACGCAGTCTGAGTATATGTCCATCTTGCCATTTCTCTGTGTGTAATGTGCCGGCCAGGCCCTCAGGTCACATCCAAGTGTATCATTCTCTCCAGGCCGTGATAAACTATTTTCTCTTCTGACTTCATTACTTGATCCCTAAAGGCCGTGACCACATCTGCCTTGTCATGTATCAACTCACCACCCAGTGGTGCAGATCCAGCCAATCTGTGTGCCTTGTTTAGTTGTAAACATGTCCCCAATATGCAACAGTTAGTATTCCCCTTTAGTCACCATTAGACCCCACGGTAAATCTTAAATGCACAGAAAGTTGTATTATGGTTGTCACATTTGGATATGGAGATGTATTTGTTGCAATTGTAGATGTACCTAACGAGCTGATGATATTCAAACACTCAGCGAAGAAAAAAATGGTTTTAATAATTCCGAATCTGAAAATCATAAAAGGTTGAAAGTTGTAACTGGCTGTAAGCCATCTCAGTGCTAGTACTCGTCTTCCACATGTTGAACACAATTTTTCCAGAAATAAATGTGTATTTTTGAGAGGGATTTTAAAATGTAAATACTGCATTGTGATTTCAATGTTAATTTTAGTTTCTGAGCTTAACAAGTTAGTTTGGGTCTAACATTTTTAAGATCACACGTCTAATGACATCTACATCAAAGTCTTCAATTTTGTTGTTGTTGTTGTTGTTGTTGTTGTTGTTGTTGTTGTTGCTTCCTTACTTGATATGTGTGTACTCTGTGTCCTGTTTAATCCAACGGTTAAATGATGCTTTATCCAGACCAAGTGCCAATCGTTTTCATTTCCGTGGGTAATGAATATCACAAAACGAATGACACATTTTAGATTCCATAAGCACGTTCTGATGTAGTCAAACCGTAATCTTTTGCATAGTTATGAATGTGCATCTTAAATTCATTTTAAAAATGATGCCTCTGTTAGCTATTATGAGCTAGCTATATGTCACAGTAACTCAACACTAATTTGTGAAAGAGCCTTTGACCGACGTCTTGTTTTGTGTGTGCGTGTGTGTGTGTGTGTGTGTGTGTGTGTGTGTGTGTGGCTTCTGGTCACTAAGAGTGCGACTTTGCACGAGAAATCATGAAATTACGTAGGTTTCCTTTGACCCACTGTTAAACCTGACACAGTGTGCATTACTAGCTGAAACTATTGAAAGTAAACGTTCTAAAAGACTACCAACACGGTTTCATTATAAAAATAAAAATCGTGAAGAAGAAAAAAAAAAAAAAAAACTACACATGATATTTTTCGTTAGTGAAAAAAAAACAACATTTTTTTAATGTCATGGAAAGGCTGCATTCATAAAATCATTGCGATATAACAGGCAGTTTTCGAGAAAATGGCTTGCATATATGTTTATCTATTGTTTAACGAACTATAGATATTTCGTCTCTACTCAACAGCTTGTACATGGGAGGGACTCTGGTGGTTGTTCTCAACGGTTACGACCTAATCAAGGAAGCTCTGGTCAAGAAGGCTGACGTCTTTTCTGACCGACCACACTTCTACAGTGACATGGTAAGTAATGTGCTCCATAACACCCAGATAATGCTCCATGTGTACTCAGTTTATATCCAAGTGTAGCAAATCAGCACAGTTTGTATGTCTCTTTTTTAAGAAAGGGGGAGGGGGAAGTGTTATTTTTGTGTGGTCTTTGTTAGCTTTAGTAATCTTGCGAAAAACATTCAATGCAGCATACACTGCTGCATCTTTGAAAGATAGGTTAGTTGCGTATCTTTTACAGGACGTTGCAGAACCAGCCCCAACAGCCCCTGGCTGTTGTGTGGTTTTTCTAGGCAAATTTGCGTCCAGTAGTTTGCTATTGCTTTCTGGACGGTTGGCTTTCTTGATACCGCTGTCGAAACCAACGCAAGGCCCGCAACTGGGATCGAACCCGGCATCTCGGCATTACGAAGCGTTCGCATCGACTTAGCCACAGAGCCGACTTGAAAGATAGACTGTTGATTATTTCCCCGTGATTACTGTGCCAAACGTAACTTGTGCTCTGAAACCACCCGTGACCGAAAGAGTTACATGTCAGAGGACACGAGATCAGTGTATGACGTCATTATCCAAACGTTTGTAACATTTAAATTCTGTAAAAATGTCATTGGCAGATTGCAAACTCCCTTTACAATATCTCTTTCTGCCTTGCCCATTTTTTGATTACCCCTGTTTAGACAAAAGGTAAAAGTATTCTTTTGAACTTCTTTCTCATAGTCTGCTAGTAACTACATTTACTTACCCTGTAATTACTACTTTTGCGGTATAGGCTGGGTGTGGGGTCTTCAAGCCTGGGGATTTAAGGAGGCAGGTTAGGATTTTCTGTCTGCCCCAACAACAACAAACACAACAACAAGAACAACAACAAAAATACCTTCACCTTACCAGGGATTTGAACCCTGGTTTCCCTCATAAGAGCCCGGCGTCCTTATCCGTTTGGCCATCCCTTCTTCCCTATAGTGCCAGACGTATATTTTATAGACCAGTCGGCACTCAGTGGGTGATGTGGTCAACATCAAGTCGACCGCCTTTACTTCCCAGGACTTTACCTGGTTCGACCTGGGAGACAAGATCATTTAAAAAAAATGTCCAACTTCGTTTGGATTTGAACCTGCAACCTTCAGATCTGTAGAAGATCTTCTAGCCACTACACCACACCAGTTCCCTTTAGACTGGTTATGGAAGTTAAATCACAGTTAACCGGGCGAATGCTAAGGTTAAAACTATCGTTGCATATAGCTGGTAAATTATACTTGTACAGCCCATCTAAGACTGGCCAACTATGACTGTTTACGATTTTCAGCATGGTACACAATGATGATATATTTATAGACCATAAAAGAAAATTAGTAACCACGGAAATGAGATGTCTGAGAAGGGCTGTAGGAGTGACCATAACAGATAAGATCAGGCATGAGATCATAAGAGAACAAGTCGGCACAGAACCAATTCTAGACTACACAAAGACAGCAATTGAAATGGTTTGCCCACTTAGAGAGAATGCCTTGTGACACCATACCATACAAAGCATACATGGAAAGAGAAGAAGGACGTAGAGCACGGGGTAGACCAAGAACACGATAGAAGGATAACATCAGAGAAACTCTACAACAGCACGATGTGCCTATGGTCGAGGCAGCCAGAAGAGCTAAAAACAGAACCTTATATCTCCCTCGACACCCACAAGGTAAAAGAGGAAGTGAAGAAGAAGAAGAAGACACAATGATGATGATGATAAAGTTCATCTGAAGCGATGTGTTTCATGTTATCATTACCATTTATGACTGGGGAGCTTAGTCTTTGAACTAGCTAAACGACCGGACAAGCTGGCAAGTCAAGTGCTATTTCAAACTGGAAACAGTATTTTACCGACTTCCTTAAATCAATGAGTCGGTCCTGGCTGTACCGACTAGACTGGAAAACAGCAAGGTGTGTCTGGCGCTAATCCAATTACGTAACTTGTAAATATATTGTGGCGAAACACACATATGCTGTCTTCGAGGTCAAGATATATGTTTTAATCAAGTGTGTATGCGAACAGAAAGAAAAAGTTCATTGTTGGATCGAAAAACTGAGAACCCATGCTGCAATTACGACGATCGCTATAACAAACAACACTCCCTTGACTGAACTTGTAAAAATACGTTTTTTTTTTAGTTGCTGCCATAACTACTGCAACAACATCACAATGTACTACTCCTCCTCCGAATCCTGCTACTACTACTGCTGCTGCTGTTGCTACTACTACTATTACTACTGCTGCTGCTACTACTACTATTAATACTGCTGCTGCTACTATTACTACTACTGCTGCTGCTACTATTACTACTGCTGCTACTGCTACTACTATTACTACTAGTGCTGCTGCTGATGCTTATATTACTACTGCTCCTACTACTACTAATTCTGCTACTACTACTATTACTACTACTGCTGCTACTACTACTATTACTACTGCTGCTGCTACTACTAATATTACTGCTTCTGATGCTACTACTATTACTACTACTACTACTGCTACTACTACTACTACTGCTGCTACTACTACTATTACTACCGCCGCTACTACTACTATTACTACTACTATTGCTACTACTACTGGTACTACTACTACTGCTACTACTGCTGCTACAACTACTATTACTACTACTGCTACTACTACTATTACTACTACTGCTGCTGCTATTACTATTACTACTACTGTTGCTACTACTTCTACTACTAGTACTACTACTACTGCTACTACTGCTGTTACTACTACTATTACTACTGCTGCTGCTACTTCTATTACTACTACTGCTGCTGCTACTACTACTACTGCTACTACTACTAGTGCTACTACTGCTGCTACTAGCACTATTACTACTGCTGCCACTACTATTATTACTGCTACTACTACTATTACTACTACTGCTGCTGCTACTACTTTTACTACTACTGCTGCTAATACTACTACTGACTGCTGCTGCTGCTGATCTCAAGTGGTATTCCTCTATCGTTCCTACCATAAATTTATCTAGTTGTGACATTCTGATCTATGTTATTTCTTTCCATTACGAGGCCAAAAATCATAATCGTCCGCTGTGACATCTGGAGTCTGTCGTAGCCGCTATCAAAACCTCCGGATTACTCATTGTTAGCTGTCCAATAAAAGGGTGTGGATTTGTCTAAAAAAATACTTATGAAGTCTGCAGGCCTTTGAAGACCAGCGGGTGTATAAATATCGCTGAGTGTTAAACTAAGTACATCATACATAGCCATTTGTTGTTAGGGTGATTGGTTTAGCCAATGATGAGGTTTTCCCCATGCGTTGGATGTTTTACGTCTAGAAGTAAACCTCTTCCATTACCAAAATCAGATCAGTTCATGGCAGGGATAAGTTAGAACGTGGTGTTTGTGTCTAAATTATTATTATTTTTTTTTTTTTTTGTATACATCTTTTTTTTTAAGACTGATCAGTACCAGTGAATGTGTGTTAGGTTTGATTCTTTTAGGATGTTTCACATACGAGAGTTAATTTATGTTGCAGGCTGTTGGGATGAAAAACAAAGGAATCATTTTCTCTAATGGTGCAATCTGGAAGGAACAGCGATCTGTGAGCCTGTCCATACTAAGAGCTTTCGGGATGGGTAAGAATCTTCTAGCCGAGAAGACACAAGAAGAGGTTGCCTGTTACGTGGACTATTTGGCAAGTCTAAAAGGGAATCCCACAGATATCCAGGTCATCACTAACATTAGCACGTGTAACATTATTTGCTCTATTTTGATTGGTCGTCGTTTTGAATACGATGACAAAGCTCTTCAAAAATTGATGCACCAACTTGGTGCTTTGGTCACGGACCAGAAAAATATGGGCCTAATCAATTTTATTTTCTGGCTTAGATACATCCCTGGAGATTTATTCAAGGCCAAATCAATAGCAAGGAACAGAAGGGCAGTATTCAGCGAGCTTATGAAATTTATTGAAGAGAAAAAGCGACACGTGGTAGATTCGGATGACGTTTGCAACCTCATCGATGCCTATATTCTTGAAAGAAACAAGAAAATACAAGCAGGGACATGTACATCATTAGACGATCAGCATCTTACGAAGATAATGTATGACTTATTTGTTGCTGGTACTGAAACAACGAGCACGACCATCTACTGGTGTATTCTGTACATGCTCCATTACCCTGAAATACAGGAAAAGGTCTACCAGGAGATCAAGCAGAAAGTTGGAACAAACAGAGCTCCGACAATACAGGATAAACCACAAATGACCTACTTGAACGCCGTGATCTGTGAGACTCAACGTCTGGCCAGTATTGTCCCTCTATCCGTCACTCACGTCTGTTCTGAAGATGTATCTTTGCGAGGGTATGATCTGCCTAAAGGAGCCTACATTATCACAAACCTAGACACCGCTCTGCACGACCAAGCCTCCTGGGGTGACGATTCCACAAGTTTCAAACCCGAGAGATTCATTGACAACAACGGAGACCTACAGATCCCCGAGCAGTTTATCCCGTTCAGTACCGGAAGACGTGTCTGCCTTGGGGAAGCTTTAGCTAAAATGGAACTGTTTCTGTTTCTGTCCACAATGTTCCAGAGATTCCAGTTCCTTCCACCAACCGCACAGTCAGTTCCTGAACTCAAGTACAAACCTGGAATAGTCGCTTCTCCACAAGCCTATGAGGTCAGACTTGTGGAGAGAAAGTAACGATAATTATATTGTCTACATTTTCTTTATTTAGAGAGCCGACCTTGTGTGGCGGCCAGACGCTCGCCTGCGGATGGGAAGTTTGTGAGTTCAGATCCTGACGAAGCGGGACTTTAAAAAAAAAAAATAATTTTGCCTCCTATTTCGACCCAGCTTTTGATGGGAAGTGAAGGCTGTCGGCGTGATTCTGACCAAATCACCCACTAAGTGCCAGCTGGTCTAAAAATATAGGTCTAGCTCTAATTGTCTAGTACGCCTAATGGAAAAAAAAAAAAAAAAAAAAAGAGAGAAACACAAGTCCTTTGCTTTACATTGTGACTGGAAATAACTTGTTTTATTATATGTTATATATTTCATGCAATAAACAGATGCTATGTATGTTATGTTATGACTTTGAATGAGAAAACCTCCTTAATGACCCATATTTTTTTAAAGAGAAATGAATAAATTATGTTTTCCAGTTTAAAAAAAAAAGTGATTGTTCCAAATGGTTCATGTCTTTATTGTTGAAATGCACCCAGCCACTTTTGTGACCAGTTTTTGCAATCGCAGCTTCTTCACACGCAGGTCCTTATTTATCTGTTAACTGTGACATTCCTTCCGTAAACGTATGAATATTGACAGTATGTGCCTTAGAGAGGCTGGAATAGGAAACGCCTTCTCAAAAGTAGCCTTTTGCAAGATTCGAAACATATGAATACAAGATGCTGGCACAATGTGAAAGCAGTTTGTAAAATTCTATGCATAGCCTGTTTTATTGTCTGCATTTGTAATATTTTACTTTAGTACTCAGTCTCCCCCGTGCAAATTTGACACTAGCTGCCTAGTCTAGGGGTCAGGATCACCGTAGAAACAAGTCAAACTTCTCTTCCAATCAACTATCACACGTCTCCAAACGACAGTCGACGAAGGTTGACAACAATTCACGGGTTTATTTTCATAAAAAACACAGGCGACAAGAATCAACATTAAAGCTGCACACTTACGCCATTCGGGCAATGTCGCCTTGCTCACATTCTAAGTCTACAGCCACGCTTTAGACAAAGGACACTGGTATATCCACGATTGACACAACCAACAAGCCAAAGCACACAACTGTTGTCCTCAACTGTAATTAAACACAGCTTCACTCCATCCAGACCCACGTTCACATCTATCACTCTGGATTCAGTTTCACTTCCGTTTACTCTGGGAGCCTGTCACAGGATGACCAGTTATTCTTATCAACGTTGTCTCGTGTTACCCAAGCTAACCCACCGTATTTCGTGTTCTTTCTTTCCCATCCTAACCTCGTAACCTTTCATCCTGGGGACTTCCCTTCTTCCACTAACCAATCAAACCCCTTATTATATTCCTATAGTTAGCATTATCACAGCCTTTGAAACCAGAAGAATAAGCTGTAAAACCTGCTATGACTGTAAATAAAGTTTCTGGAAAGAGTGACACGCTTATGATAAAATTGCAGAAAAACACAGGAAGCTGTTCTCGGTCCGACAGATTCAAACTGAGCAAGAAGAAACAGTTGGACAAAGTTAGTTCGACTCACGAACTTAACTTTCTCCTAACTGTGGTTCGTGTCTCGAAAAGTCCCTCTCGAAGCCCAGTTTCCTATTATATGTTTAAGGAAATCAATTAATCAGCTCTCGCTTTATTAAAAAATCAGATTAAAAAAAAACAAAAAAACAATGTCATTAAGTTACAAAAATTAAAAAAAAAAAAAAGTTCTGTAGAGAGCGGTTCTTGAATTGAGTTACACTGTATTTGTGTAGGTTTGTTATTAGAGTTTTATTTGTTTGTTTTAGAATCCAGAAGCCATGAGTTGTTAATCCTTAGGCTCGGTATTATGGATATCGCAACTTTCCGGCCTTGATTTCATTGTAAAAACCGTAAATCTGGGAGAACTGTGGCTTTTCTGCCTACCCCTGGGAGTGAAACCGGACCACAAGGAGTTCATCACCCGGTCACCGCGCAATCCGGTTTAGATAACTACGCTAGAGAGCCGGGCATTGTTATCAGTGATAAATGTGAAAACTGAGGTGCTCTTTGTAAACTTGAGGAAATTGTGAGGTTGGGTTATAGACTGAGACACACGGTTAGTCTGACCACACGGCATAATCGGATAGAGAATACAGAACCTATTCATGAGTCTAATGACTTGTTAAGATTGTGAACTATGATCGCCTTCAGTTTGTGGGGACATGGAAAAGGGGTTCTTAATTTATAACTTACCCCTGACGTCACGACAACGTCACGGGAGACATTCCCAATAAATTTTAGGGTGTTCAGGTTGTAGTTTCTCGCGATTTATCTACAGCCAAGTTTAGGGTTAGGGTTAGGGTTTGGGTTAGGGTTAGCATTAGAAGACACTAGATGAACACTCAAAAAAAAGCACCACACAACAGCACACTTCCACCCTGTGAAATAATGGACTATCAGGTCAGCTGTGGATTTCCCACGGGGATTTCGTGTTTGGGGTACGTTATAAATTAAGAACCGGGAAAGGAAATGTCGATGATCACAATCCAAGAGTAAAAACTCATAGACACGACACATCAGATAATGCAGCAGCACAACAATATATTAGCGGTTGTTGAGTCTTTCAGGGAGCCCACGTGGTGTAGCCAATAGACGCTCGGTTGCGGACCTGATGGTCGTGTGTTCAGATCCTAATTGAGCCGGACTTTTTAAAAAGTAATTTTGGCTTCTATGTTCCAGGTTAAATGGGTACGAAGTAACGAAATGGGAAGTAATGGTGTCACAACCCTATTAAGTACAGTCAGTGTACCACACCGTAAGGTGTGCACCCAGGGTTGACACAGAGGTCAGGGCCGTCACTGGTCAAGTCCGTTCTGTGATCGCACGGCGAAACCAGCGCTCAGGATAAAGCAAGAAAGCCTGAACTGTGTTTTAGTAACACGATGACTGCTTCTGGGACTGAGCTGGTGAACGGGGTTAAGAGACACGAGGTAGAAGGAAGAAGGGACATTCGGTGTGCGTCGGTCAGGAAGAGAGGACGTTTAGTGACTGGATAGTTTATGTTATAGTATTAAAGTTAGGATATATTTCTGTTAGTGACTGGATAGTTTATGTACAGTTTTGTGTTAGGATAGGATAGTTCTTGTGTAGAGTATTTATGTATATGTGCTGTGAGAGAGTGGCTAACCTGGACACTCTGACCCTGCACTAAGACAGAGACTGTGACAGTCTGATTGGGTCAGCGTGGCGATAGAAGAGAGCGTATCCTGCCGGATTGTGGTTTGTACACCAGAGTATTGCCTGTCGCACGTACTGGGGACGGGGCGATTGTAAAGCCCGTCCAGCCAGAGGGTCCAGGCAATAGGTGGCCACACGGCGGGAAGTCAACTGTCTATGTATTACCTGTACTTCCAATAAAGATTGTCGTGTGTGCTCTGTGTGCGTTCGGGTTCAGTGTGTGTTGTAGGTTAGTCTGTCTGTCATAGGCCTAGTTAGCGAGCCACGGACCGGCAAGGTCATACCAGAGGTTTGTGACAGATTATGGGGGCGTTCGTCCTTGGGAATTGAACCTATAGTAGTAGCTAGATAGTAATAGTTGTCCGCGTTAATTGTGAACCCAATGTGCTTGTATTTATTTGTCTAAATAGGAGACATAGATTAGTTTGTATGTTTAGCTGACTGATTTATTTTTCTTTAAGTTTTGTCGTTCACTATTGTAGGGCTAACGTGATTGAGTTAATCCCTTAATTTTGATGTTGCTATCGAGTGAGTTTGTGATGGCGTTGCTGAGTTTATTCTCTTAAATATTGCATCGTTGTTCGGGCCTACTCTTAATTTTTGATAGCGACATCGGGGTTGGCTTGGGTCACTCGTAGCGCTATAAAGTGATAGTTTGTTTTCGTTTTCGTATTTGTTCCGACGGAATGTAATTAATAATGACTAAATGTGATAGGGCTGCGTTTGCGTCGTGACAAGTTAGTGACGTAGAGGAGAAATAGTTTGACGGACAGTAAAAAGTGTGAGGAAGGTCAAGATTGTGTGCTGTTGTGTGGTTTCTGCCGACACCGATCAACCGAGGCCTGTCGTTCTCGGTCATCATCATCATCCTCATCATTCTTTCTGTGGGAGGCCAAGAATCAAGGACTGGAGAGAAGATAAGTTTGTTTTGCTTTTGGTGTATTGTTGTGGTCTGTTCTCCAGCCCTCGAGGGTTCTACGCAATTGTATTTGAGCCCCTGTCACCGTTCATTGTCCTTCTCATTTCTCGTCTGTCCTATTCATCATTTACGTTATTTTGGTGGGTGGTTGGCAGGGCTAGTCTTGTGTTGTCCCTAGTTGTCTAGTGTTGCTAGGTTAACATAAGATTACGTGTCAGCTATATTGCGATTCTAGTCTCGTCTGCAACTCGTTTTGCAGCCGGGTCTATTGTCAAGATATATGCTTGTAGCGTCTTGTTTGTAAATAGTTATTGTCCAATCGTTGTGCTTTCCTGTCAATAAGTGTTTATCTAATAGTACGTTATCGTTCGTGCGTGTACCGTCTGATTTAGAGATTAATAATTTCTTCGAGGTGTTTTCGTGTGTGAAATTGTTTTCCACTTAGTGATACTAGTGCTGTTCATTTCTGTGTTAATTTTTTTTTGTGCACACACATCATCATCCCTCATTCGGAAATTGTAACGAATAAGTTTCGCTGACCCATCCCTTTTCTGCAACGAACAGTCCAAATTGTTCCATAATTATTATTATTATTATATTGAATTTATTACGTTGCTAAAGTATTTGCATTGTTTTCACTGATTTCCGGGCTTGCCACTTGTAATTTTTAGTATTTTTGTTCGTGGCAGTTACGGTTAGTCAGGTGATTTGTTGAGTGGTTGTTGATTATTATTTTGCACGAAAGATCATTGTTATTGTAATTAAGATGTCGAGTCTATCTGAGTTCATCGAGATGGCAAAACAGAATGGTCTGACTGGCGAGAAGGCGCTAGAATGGGCAGACAAGAAATATGCCGATCTCCAAGAG